TTATAAAGTTAATTTTTGTTGAAAATATTTGCGACTGTCTTGCAGGTAATTAAGTACGTTTTACTGCATGCATTCAGTTGTGTCAAAAAAATTTCAATGTACAGCATGTTTGTGAGCAGCAAACTATGCATCTCCAACTTCGTTGACAGGTGTAATCGTGATCCTTTTACACAGATACTCGTAATAGTAATGATTAATGAAGGTATTCGCAAAGCATTATGAAGTTATATGAAATATGTATTTTTCAAAATTTTATTTACAATGGCTCCCAGATTATTATTATTTTTTCATAAAATCAATTGACAGATATTGTTTATTTCAATAATATTTCTTTGCTTTATTGATTAGTTGTAAACATCAAGAGTTGTAATAATTTTATTGTTCAGATATACATCCGGAGTTCTATATTAGCATGCAATTAATGTTATCCTATTTAGATCCTATCCTAAGTTTATTGCATACATGCGGTTCTGCGAAAAAATGCCCGTGCGCGGCTAACTTCGCAGCATCTCTGTAATATTGTCAAACACTACTACACTTTAATCAAACGTCTGCAGAGAGTTAATAGATATTAAAGAAACAACAGCGTTATGATTTATGTATTGTGCATCTTTAAAAACGTAATTTACAACAGCCCTGTGATTTTTTTATATCATAAAATTAATCGACACTTAGGCATTGAATGAGTTTATATCAACAATAATGACTTTCGTTCTTTATTGATTTTTCATAGGCATCAAGCATTGTAAACATTTTATAGTTAATATTTATCATCATTGACGGCTAGTGAACTCTGAAAAAAACAACAACACTAGAATGGTTCGCAAAGTTTCTAAAATAAATCCCCATTATGCAAGCATGTACATAATGTACTATTTTTATGTGCTATGCGAAAAATCGTAAGAAAGGCGGATCGGAAAGGAATAGCTACCATCAGTAGTCGGAGCGGTGGGCAAGATCAGTAACAATATATACGTGAGTTTATATATCTTGGCGCATGAGGACCTGGGTTCACGATGGAATATCACGGCATTTCTCGGTGGTGCCGCTAGATGTCGCATTATCGCCTGCATTGTTTAATATGGTCGCGAATATGTGACATCTAACGGCGCAGAGAAATACTCAAAATGCCGTGAGATGTTCCATCGTGAAGACAGGCCCTCACGTGTCAAGAAGTAAAAACCCCCAAGTACGTGTTGCGTAGGGTACAGGCAAAAGGGACAAGTTGAAGATCAGTTTACCCATAGAAACGTCTAATAATTTAATTACTATTGACATTTGATATTTAATGGAACCATGCTATGTTGTCTATAATTTGTAAGATAATCGTAATACTCTTCCTCTCTGTCAAATGCTTAAAAGATTACTTATTGAAAATTCCCTAATTATAATTATACAAAATTTCCTTTCTTACCTCCGATAATTATACATTTCTTATCAGTATTACAGGACGGTGTTAAAGTGATTTAATAGGGAATCAGTACTGCTTATTTGCCTATTAAGACTTACTTCATATGCATTTTAGTAATTTTTAAACTGAAGTCTCTCTTATTACTAAAAGTTTCCCTGTAACGCATGTATACATTTATATTAAAAGATATGTTTACCAGAATACGGCTGACAGGTAAGAATGGCGTACGTAATTAATTAATTCTTATTGCTAATATTACTTATTTTATTAAATCCGTCCACTACTTTTTTGACAGCTTAAACACAAGTAACCCAAGGAATACTAATATATTATTATGAATGCTATTTTAAATGTGTAACTAACACAGTTTGCCAAGAGATCACTTTTATTCGCAGAAAACCATCATCAATTTCTTAACAATAATGTTTTATTTTGATTAACCTCTCAACTACTGAGGTTTTTGCGTCGAATACCTAGGGGGTTATTATAGTTACCTCAGGGAAAATTGAATATAGCTTTAATAGTTTACCACAAATGTAATATTGTTTTGATTATACAGATTAAACTCCATTTTGATACATTAATAAAATATTTAGAGATTTTAACTATTTTTTCATGCACGGCTTTGTCTATGACGAAGAACCAAAACATGCTACTTTCATACCACATTGTACTATTCGTATTGTTTCTCACGTGATACTCAACAGTTTCTGTATTTGATGCATGCTTCATTGACGTTTTACTCGTCTTCAGTACAAATAATATCGTCAACTTTATCTATAACCTCTACATTATCTTCAACACTCTCATAAAACAATGTTCACACTTAACGATCGTCTTCAAACAAATCGTCAGGATTGTGAATACTTAATAACTTTTCAAATCCTTCAATACTGTAATTTTTCGACTTGTTAAAATACTAACGCACAAGTACTATAAGAACACTTCGTAGACGTGTCCACAACACCACTTCCCATCTCCCGCTGATAACAATCTCAAACCACGTTATTAAATCCCGAACGTCCAAGACCAGCGGTGGTATGTAGTAACCCCAGGTAGAAATTCAAGCCTTGAAGTTACTACAGGCAAAAAACATAGATTTTTCTAACACAGTATTTTAGGTAAATAAGTAAAAAAACTATAGAAGACATCTGAATTGTAAAAAATAGTATAAGATGATGAAACATGATAAAATCTGAGTTGGGATAACTCTAGTTACCACCCACGGTAGCAGTGTGCACTGGGTTCATTCTCTTTTATGGATGAAATGTTTCATTCCAACGAAAGGCAAATCAGAAAATTTGTCACCAGTGCCCGAAAGCTCTGGCATTTATTACCACTTATTAACACTTACATGTTAACACTTACGTGGGAGGAAACAATCATCTGTGTAATCTTGATTGCACAGGACCACCCAGTATGGCGAATACAAATTTCTTTTAAGTCTCTACGTAATGCTATTGTCGACTTCAATTTGAATCTTGAAATGGAATCAGGGATAATCAAAATATACTTTTCGTTCTTAAAATTTATATAGTCTCTAGCACCGAGAAGGGTATATCACATAGTACATGGAGCCCTGTCCTCAAAAGGAATCAAAGGCCATTCTCAAAAGTACGTAAAGATTTCTCGTGAGGGAACTAAGCCAGACGGCATCAATAAGAAATAAAAAGTCTTGCCTGGTATCATCTTTCTTTCACATGTGAATTTTTAACTTTGTTTGACCCTGGAGCGCCCACTTCTCCCGAAAGACAAAATTTGATCATGTCTTCGTGTTGTGTAGACTTATCAGATATCTTCCCATCATGATCGAGGTCATTGCTAGGAGAGCATAAGGAAAATAATGTCGAAAAGGGAAGTAAAAGACAAAAAATAAGACAGGATACCAAAAAGTATCATAAGCTAAAATAGACAAAAAAGACTAAAAACTATTAAAACAAATCCAGAAGTACAATGTGATTTTTATCGTTAAAAGTCATAAAATAGTAAAAATAAAAAGGCATTTTTCCAAACTTCCGGGCTCTAGTTATCGCATTGAAAAAGTTTTCGTGGCAGAGTGACATTGGCCTGCAAGGACAATAAACAACTATGAACTGTATCAAGCGAATGGAGAGTGGTCGATCAGATTTACAGTTTCAAAAGTTGGCTGCTCTGACCGTAAGTAGGTCCGTCCTGTTGGGTATCTCGGACGGTACTCGCTATTAAGAATTGACGCCATCGAAACTGCTATTATGTTATATGGTGCTGAAAATATTAAAGAAAAGGAAGTCTAGGATATTTTAGGTGCCATCAATTTATGCGTCCGTCCGCAGTTCGTTATTAACTTAACTGCACGCTGCTACTGTTACTCCACACAATTACAGTTCTCACGAAGTCAAATACTAGTTGCTATTGGCTGAAGGGTGGGACCGCCTTTATATCTTGGAAGAATCGTTTCTTGCGAAAGGAGACTCCGTCTTCCCAACTGAATGAACAAGTTTTTGTGTCTTTTGCTGAGAATTCCTTCGTTACTAGACAGCTGTTTCTTGGCGATTTCAAATTTAAGTGTGCAGAAGGCTAAGCTTATGATACAAAGGGCTGGATATATTCCCAAGTATTTAATAAAAAATATTTTTTGTGAACAAACTACGAAAAATGAAAATTAGCAAGTTGGCGGGCCTTGCATGCATTTTACGACCGCCCTGTATCACGCGCTGCCATACACGAATGTGCCCGACCTAAGGCAGTAAGGGCCTGAACCGTCCAGCCGTCCGTCCATGTCAGTTCGCAAACGACGTTAATGACCTCCCGAGTATACGAAAGCGCTTTGAGTTCGGTGATCTGTGATGCGACGGAATTGGAAAAGCAAAACAATGTATTTCTATGTAAGCATGCTTCCGAGGCATAGATATAGCCAAACAAAGGAATTCTTTATTGCTGATACGAGGAACATGCTCGCTTTTTAATTGCACGAAATGTCTCCGCCCTCTAGACCCTAGTTACCGAACGAGGAGGAGAGTTGACTTTCAGCGCTAACACTTGGGGTTCACCCAGCACACCCAGGCGAGTGTCACACGAGCGTTGCGTTTGCGCGCGTTAGCAGCGCACGTCGTGCAATAACACTACCTTACACGAGCGCTTTGACCGTCCCGCAAAATACCTGTTGTAACACTGATGTTGCGTTGACATGTGATAAGTAACGCGTGTTGTATATTGCCATCTCATGAGAAACGGTCGAAGCGCACGTGTGCCGTTTCGCGTAAGATACATAGTTATTTTATGACGCGCGTCAACGAAACTCTCGTGGGGGCAGGCATTATCTGATTTATTATCTTATAAAAGTTGCTTATAGAAGAAATTGCAGTAAACTAAAGTCGCCCTCCTTACCTTGATCCTGACGTTTAAAGGTTTTATTGCGAAAGCGGTCCTATTAATACACGACAATGTCTTAGAAGTTATTGCAACAAGGCAGTTCATTATTGAATATGGAGACTGATCCTGTTTGCAGGAATAGGTAGGAAAATTTTCATGGAATATCTGGTTGAGTGCTAGAGTATCTTTAGAAACCTCAAATAATGTACAGTATAGATTGGATAAATAAAATACTTCATTATTGAATTAGAACTTTATTTAATAATATAATTTTTTTGGTCATTCGAATGAAAACAATCTTACATTACAAAGCTAATAATCTTCACTCTGGTATTAGATAATGAAAAATACTTTATTAAGAACTTTTGTAACTTTTTGTTTAAAGACAACCTACAGAAAGTGGTCCCCCTTTTCCTTTCGTCAATTTACAGAAGATTCCACTAAAATACAGGGAATTTTAAAAATTCATAAATTCTAGGAAGTACATTTTCCAAGGTAAATTGAAGAGTTAGTTTGAAATTTTCATTCTCTCCAGGAGAAGTTTGGAAGTATACATGCTTAACAAAATAACACTTCAATAATTATATAAATGACAATTAAATTTGTATTAATTTAAGACAATAAAGTTTCAAAAATATCAAAAACAAGACCTATCCAGTAGGTCATCTTCATTAGGCAAGGTTACATCACGAAATATTATGTACACTTTGCTCTGTTCTTGCATGTATATACGGCTTTGTAAAAAATACAGGGCAAAGCATGAGACTTTTTTGTAGAGTATATGCCATTGGTAATTTTGAAAACTCATCTGTTGTACAGACTTGGGGTGATTATCAACGTATTTCCATCACTAGGAATCATTTTTTCAGAGTTGGACCCTCCATGACCATAGAACAGCCTGCCAGCTTCCAGGACTAAAACAGCGCAGAGTTAAAGGACAATTTTAAAATCCATGATAAGAGAGAGACTTACATAGTATAATAGAAAGAACCGCACATGTTAATTAATATTGCATTCAGTATTTATATTTTTGAGAAAATAAGCTCCACGCTTTCTCTCATTGTGTTTTCTAAATGACTATTCCGTGCCAACCCCTCTGTTTGTTTATAGAGGATAAACAATGAGATACGCTATTCAAACTCGGAAAGTTGCATTTCATTTACTTCTTTATTACAATGTTAATATTGTTGGAATACATTCGGAAAATTAAAACCGTGTAGACTATCCTGTTCATTTATCTAACATCTTGTAACACATTTTTTTAATTCTTTCGTCTTTACGTCAAACAGAATTTGCGGGGTTTGGCAGAGTATCATAATCAGGAAAACTCACCACTGATAGCCGAAAGCATCTTTCGACGCGCCCCGACGGCCGTGATCCCTATCTCCAGCAAGTCTATTTCCGTCAGGGTACGGAAGGCCTGCAGATCTATCTCCTCGCGCTGGAACAGATCTAGAGCAAGCCAAGAAAACAGGACAAAATCACTATCACATCTAAAGTTACCACAATCTGGAGAGATTTCATTTCCAATTTTCAACCTCTCTATTACACCCTGGAGGAAATTATAATTTATGAAATAAAATTAAATATAGAACCTATTAATTATCGAATGAAAAGTCAACAATTTTAACGGTTACATTTTCATTTATCTTTCCGGGATTCAGAGTTTTACTATTTCAGGGACCAAGTAGTAGCAAGTTTTTCTGCTGAATGGTGCGTTAATCTAGTATTGAACGAATAGTGCAGTCAGGCGCGAAGCATTTTATTTTAAACTCGAAACTACGTTTTAATGATGGCAAAAATGAAGGATAACCGAGGTCTGATACGGGTCTACCGAGACACCTTGTCACCTATTTTGAATGTATAGGTACCAATTGTTAAAGGTTTTCAGGAAACTTCGAAGGCGCCGCGGTCTGTCAGGAGTCCAACACCGACCCGTTTTACCAAACATTCAGTCGTGATCAAATCGCGTTTTACTTAACTCCCAATAATTTCGCAATTACGGTGTTTAAATTTGAAGACTAAATTTATAGGGAAAGAACTTTCGGGTATTTAAAAAAAAAACATCAAGGAATAGACGTTTGTTGCATTACACGGACAATACTTTGGCCCAAATGAATTACCACACCTATAGTTACCACAATCTAGAGAGATTTCATTTCCAATTTTCAACCTTTCCGTAACACACTTTAACAAATAATTTATCAAATTAATTAAAAATAAGAGAAAGGATTCCATTAAATAAAAATATACAGAACAATGAATGTTAGAAAATTCAACAAAATTAACAGTTATCTTTCCACTTAACTTTGCGGCATTCAGAATTTTAAAATTTCAAGGACCAACTGTAAGCAAATCACTGTTTTAATGCTGTGTTAATGTACACATTTAACGAGTAGTACCGAGTAGTTTTACTTCAAGCTTGAAACTACATTGAAATGTGGGTGAAAATTTAGGACAATGCTTCTGTCATGGGTCTACCGGGACTCCTATACTTGTTTGAAAGATACCGCTTGTTGAATGTTTTCAGAAAACCTTTAAACGGAGCCGTGGCTTGTCAGGGAGAAATCTTACTATGTGCCCGTTTTACCGAAATTCGTTGTGTGTTTAAATACTTAGGTTTGAACTCTTAATACAATCGCAATTTTCTCTACGTATGTATTAAGGCGAAATATACAAATTGATTATTTTTGGCAATCAAAAAAGCAGAGCGTTTTGAAGAATGAGGAATGAATGTTCATTGCATTTTACGAACAATACTTTGGCACAAATTTTGAACGACGAAATATATTATTACATAACTGTCAGAATCTTGGGTTTATTGTGCGTTAAACAGAATCACCTGAAAGAATCAGCGTTAAGATACCAACAAAGAAAAAGTTTATGATTTGAGATTGGGAGCAAGTAACGTCAGGCTTGTATAGAATAGAGGCGCGTCGAAATTCTCTTAAGGTTTAGGGAAACGGACGCAGGTTTTCGTGTTCGTAAATTACCTGCTGTATCTTCAGCGCCATTTCATATTTAAAAACTTTTTGGGCCAATGACACCGTATTGAGTCCGGCAGGGAAGGGTTCCAAAAAAATGTTTACATTTTATTTTATGTCAGTTATTGCAGAACTGTAATTCCATGAAATGACAATTAGCTGAAGGTAACGTACGTATGTAGGCCCGAATTCATTGGTTAGATTGGATAATTTCCATTACATGTTACGGAAGTTACCGTGTTTACAAATGTACTAAATATTTAAGTAAAATACGTTCAATTCAATGTTACGAAAGTTAAATTTTGAGAATTGTTTGCAAGACCTTTTCACAAAAAATAAGATTAGGAAACGTTCGAGAAATTGAGATTTGTTTCACAACCTGAAACTCAGAGGCATTTATTTCATCGTCTAGATTGAAATTTTCTACCATAATCTTCCTGAACTTCTCTAGGTTTATGGAAAATAGGGTTCGCACAAAATAGTTGTCCAATAACGTAATTGATTATCAATATATATTTCACATTATAACGAACCTACCGAGTTAGAAGCTAATAATCCTCGCTACAAGTTTTTATAAAAATTTCGCTTCTTGGGCGATTTACTGCGATCGACTTAAACCTCTGAAATCTCGTGAAACAGATTATATAGTAGAACTGGAGAAAAGGGATATGCGATTAATCGATAAACATGCCTTTTAAACGTAATCGATGTGGACGAGAATGACTACCTTGAAATCGTGTCTTCTACTTCTGTGTTCCAAGTGTAGATTAAGAGGGTACCAATTGGGTTATCAGTCCCATGTATGGGCATATTACATCCTGATAGGCGTGTTTCTCCCAGCTGAACCCGAGAGTCGGCGTTAACTTGCACATCAGGTTGGGGGTTTAGCCCTTTTCCCGTGTTTCTCTCAGATGGGTACCGCCCCAGTCGGGTTATGGACTAAGCTCGAGACTGGTCGTCCGACATGTGTGATGGCGTGGGTGCGTGCAAGGAAAGAGTAGGGGGACTAGGGCAAAGGAAAGGAGTTCCGCGCGCGTTCCGTAGCGAGTTGTTAGGGTATTGCACCGACAACCTCCTTGTTTTGATAGGAGAAACCACGAAAAACCACCGATCCAAAAGCTCGACAGCCAGAGTTTTCTTCCAGGCTGCGGTTGAATTTGATAAGGTATGCAGATACGGTCTATAACCACCTTCAGCGGAAGTTCCCCGTCAGCCACGTGGCTGGTGTTCGCCAGAAGGGAGGCCCTGAACAAGACCCTCGCGCCAGGCGGGCCCGCCA